TCTAATTTTAACTTTCTTATTTAACTCTACTAGTATTGCTTTTAGGCTTTCCAAATGTCCTCCGTCCTCCGCAAAGTGTAAAAAGTTTCCTCAAAAATTAACGCTCTTTTTTAATAGATTTTTATTTGCCATTTTTAATGGTTTGGATGTGAATTTCGTAAATGACTGAAAAATCGACAGAAATCTGAAATGGAGAACAATTTACCCATTTCATCACACTGGCGCTGGTATTCCATCATTCCATTAATCAATGGTTCTGTTTTTCTGAAGAGTGTTGAAGTCGGAGAAATCGCAAAGACGCTTAACTTAAAAGATATCTTAGATAATATGAAAAGTTTTGAGTTTTTACCAAAGGTGCCAATTTAAAGACAATAATATCCTAACTATTTTGCATTCCACGTAGGGTATTTGCCGAAATGGTGTTTTTCGTTCATGAATGCAATAATTTAATAAGAAGCGAGTTAAAAATGCATGTGTGTGGCAAATAACTGTGTAGAGATTTACAATGTTTTTAAAAATAACAGGAAATCATTTAAAACTGCGAAGAACACAGAAAAGTATATGTTTTATATTACATTTATGCGCCTTTGTTTTTTTTTTTACTTCATTGAAGTGTTTTCGACCCAATCATAGAATGGCTTTCTGTTAATTTTTAATAAGTTAATTTTTTGAAATGCTCAAAGGATTCCATTTTTTGCAAAATGGCCTTTCCCCCTACTTTTTTCTAGAAATGAAACGAATGTTAGGTCCTTTCCTCATGCAGCAAAGACGTCTTCATACATAGTCCCATTTAAAAATATTTTGTCCTGCCTTAGATGTTTTAAAACTTGGCAACCCTAATTGCGTTCTGTCTTTGTAAGACGCCTTCAGAAGACCGCCATAGAGATCTGCTAAATAATTCAAGGACACAAGTGTGTCGGAGTCACAGCCGCTAAACTTAAACGTAGAATACGTGATATTATTAAGATCACATTCAAGTTAAAAACGGTACATGAAATATTCGTTTTGATTGTATTGCATTGAATTTAATAAATCAATATGAATTACAAAATATTAATACTTAGCAATAGAGAAGCAGATCCACATGAACTTCAGTCATATGTATCATCAGCTTATAAATACATATATATGCCATGACGTGTATCATTATTTCGATTCATTTTTATTTCCTTTCATACTGCAGAAATTTGTATTATTTTTTATATTAGCCTAGGTCCCCGTATTAGTATTCTTCTTCGAGTTCATGCTCGTCTTCACATTCTCTTCGTCTTCGGATTTGTGCATGTCAGCTAAGACTTCTGAAACAGCTGGCAATTCTCCTAAATATAATTAAGAAATAAACAAATCTCTAGCGTCTGATATTGTGATACCTATATAAATATTTCATGTGCCTGATGAATTAAGTTAAATTTGATTTTTTAAATACGTGACAACGCTCCTAAATACAGCTCAGAAATAAAGCCTTTTTAAACCCATTTCATTTGACACCCATATTTTCAATAATTGAGTTTACATTTTTACCAGGTGGCAACCCCCTTTAATAATCTAAATATTTAAACTAAGGATATCTTACTACCTTCGATTCACATAATATTTTAATATTTCATTTAACTCATGCATACTTTATTTAAATTCTAATTTTGAAACAGGTGGCAACCCTATTCAAAGTATTTTTAAACCACAACCTCTTGCGTCTGACATCCATATAAGGATATATTTTAAGTCGAACTTGCTTTTTAAACAGGTGGCAACCCTCCCACATATGTGTAATTAAGAAATAAAGCATTTTCAAAACCATTTCGATCGATACTCATAGTGTGATAATTGATTTAATTTAAAACTAATTTGAATTAAATTGTTTTTATCAGGTGGCGACTCTTTTTGAAAAAATAAGAAGCCCAAGCCCTTTAATTTGATACCTCTTTTTGTAAAATCGAACTAACATTACAGATCTGATGATATGACAAAAAGCTTCCGCTTATTATGCATACATATCGTCACTAGACACGAATAAAGGCGCGAGCTCAAAAGTTGACGGCGAAAAAAGACGCATAAAAAAACTTCAGCGTCAAAAACTCTTAAAATACTTCGCCGAAGTTTTTCATAAGCATCTTTTTTCGCAAAATTTTTTTACGCGCCTTTTTTCGCCGTCAAAACACTGGCGCGCCTTTATTCGTGTGTAGTGACGATATGTAAATATGTATGTATTAGGGATGTCAATTTTCGGGGTTTTGTCGATCCCGGGATTTTCGGGAT